GGTGTCACGTGGGAGCGCCTCGTTGCCCCCAAAATCCCCCGCGCGGCCGCGTTCTGGACCAGCTGGAGCCTCCGGGTGCACCCCAGGGGGAGCCCCATGTAGAGAGCGTTGCAGTAGTCCAGGCGGGAAGTGACGAGTGCCTGAGTGACTGTGCGTAGGGAGTCCTGATCTAGAAAGGGGTGCAACTGGCGTATCAGGCGGACCTGATAAAAAGCCCCCCTGGCCACGGCTGCCAAATGATCTTCTAACGACAGCCGTGCGTCCAGGAGGACGCCCAAGTTACGAGCCCTCTCCGTGGGGGCGAGTGATTCGCCCCCAATAGCCAGCGATGGTGTCAGCTGGCTATATCGGGATGCCGGAAGCCACAGCCACTCGGTCTTGGAGGGGTTGAGTTGGAGCCTGTTTCTCCCCATCCAGGCCCGCACGGCCTCCAGGCACTGGGACATCACTTTAAGGACATCATTGGGGTGGCCTGGGGTGGAGATGTACAGCTGGGTGTCATCAGCGTACTGATGGAACTCCACCCCGAAGCCACGGATGATCTCACCCAGCGGCTTTACATAAATGTTGAACAGAAGGGGCGAGAGGACCGACCCTTGTGGCACCCCACAAGCAAGGTGCCTCGGGGTCGACCGCTGCCCCCGTCAACACAGATTGCGACCGGTCAGAGAGGTAGGAGGAGAACCACCGCAAAACGGTGCCTCCCACCCCCAACCCCGCCAACCGGTGCAACATGATACCATGGTCGATGGTATCAAAAGCCGCTGAGAGGTCTAACAGGACCAGGATAGAGGAGCAACCCCTATCCCGGGCCCTCCAGAGATCATCCACCAATGCGACCAATGCCGTTTCCGTGCTGTGCCCAGGCCGGAAGCCGGACTGGAGCGGGTCTAGATAGACAGCTTCATCCAGGTACCGGGGAAGCTGTTGCGCCACCACACTCTCAACAACCTTCGCAATGAAGCGAAGGTTGGAGACTGGACGATAGTTAGCCAAAACAGCCGGATCCAGAGAAGGCTTCTTGAGGAGGGGCCTCACCACCGCTTCTTTCAAAGCGGCCGGCAGGACCCCCTCACTCAAAGAAGCGTTAACAATCTTCTGGAGCCAGCCTCGTGTCACCTCCCGGGAAGCCAGTACCAACCAGGAGGGACACGGGTCCAATAAACATGTGGTCGCGTTCAGCCGTCCCAGGACCCTGTCCATGTCCTCGGGAGCCACAGGATCGAACTCCCCCCAGATAACACTCTCAAGACCTGCCTCAGTCATCCCATCTGGACATACCCAGTCAGAGGCCAGCCCTTCCCGAATCTGAGCGATTTTGTCATACAGATACTGCACAAAATCCTCAGCTCGACCCTCGACCCTATGGATATTGGTTCCAGCTCAATGGAAATAAGCCATGATTTTTTTAAAGCAAAAATTGTTATATTAATGAAATATTTCAGTAAAGAATAAAAAGAATATATTTATAGTTTAAACTTATTGTTAACAAAGTCAGTTATGGAAAGCAAAATAAAAACTAAAATGCTTAATATGATTCCTAAAGCTAAGGTTACTCTGACAAAAACATTTTTATTGTCTTTCAAAATATTTCAGTGGCAGAGATGGAATGGTTTTCTCCTTCTTTAAATCTTCATACATATGCAGGTAGATGCAGAGTGTTTTATCTACATCTTGGTGAATTTGCATGCTTCAGTTGAGGCCATAATGTCTGCTTCATGATTTTTACAGCTCACAAGATATCTTCAAATTCCTTAAGAGAGAATTCCTTTGCTTGCATATTGCTGTTTTCCGGTGAAGGAATTCCCCCCACCCCCACCCATTTTGTTCACATGAAGATTAGCAGCATCTAAAACCGCCACGACAATTGCACATGTGTTAGCCTTACATTAACTGAATTTTGGTCCATGTTAACATGATCTGCTATCAATTTACAATTTGGAATAAATCAAATATTGCATCATTTGAACACGTACTAATCCTGATTTAAGGGTAAATAAATACAGACATTATAGGTTAAATACAATTAAATGCCCAGGTTTAATTTGGCCCAAGGTTTGGTAGGGCTATTCTACCATATCTATATGTTTAAATCTTTTTCTATCGCTGCTATAAATGGGAGGGGGGGGAAATATGAACCATTTGTTTGAGTACAGCATATGGCCCCAGAGTACAGGTAGTCCTCGACTTACAACCATTTGTTTAGTGACTGTTTGAAGTTACAATGGCACTGAAAACTGACTTACAATCAGGGGTGGGCTTCAAAAATTTTAGCAAGGGGTTCTCTGCCTGGTTGCTGGGTGGGCGTGGCCATGGTGGGCGTGGCTTAGCTGGCCTCCTGCACCACGGCAGGGGGGCGTTTTTGCCCTCCCTGAGCTCTGGAGGCTTTCCTTGAGCCTCCGGGAGGGCGAAAATGGCCAGCCCAAGCTCCGGAGGCCCTTTGGAGGCCAGAAATGGGCCCATTTCCGGCCTTCCCAAACTTCCGGTAGGCCCGTTTTTTGCTCTCCCTGAGCCTCTATGTGTGCCCTGCCCTTACCTGAATCCAAAATGGGCCATGTGGGGACTCCTGGGAGGGGTGGGGTGGGCGAGGCCAGCCAGGAGTGGGATTTGGGGGTTCTCTGAACTGCACAGAATCTTAGCTAGAGGGTCTCCCAAACCTTGCAAACCCCCAGCAGCCCACCCCTGCTTACAATCGGCCGTTGAACTTACAATTGTTGCTGCATCCCCATGATCCTGTGATCAAAATTTTATCACTTGGCAACCAGCTGAATTTGCTTCACAACCCCATGATTCACCTAACAACTATGGTAAAAAAGGTCCTAAAATCAAGTCATGATTCACTTAGCAACCACCTTGCTAAGAATTCTGATTCTAATTGTCGAAGGCTACCTGTATCATGAAATTTCATGATTTGTTTTTTTAATATGCTAAAACCTAAGCAGAAAAAGAGAACAAAACGGTATAGAAAACATTGTTGGTATTTCTCCAAATGGCATTTGACTCTGCATTGTGTAAGAACAATCTTTATTCTGCTTGTAAAGTTTTTATCCTTACTAATCAATTCATTGCCTAAGTAGAGGTATTAAATATTTACAAAATAAGCAGACCTTCTGCAAAGAGGTTGAGGCATTTGAGGTTCTAAATTTATAGCACAATAACAAGTCCTGTGTTATCTGAACTGACATTTAAATGCAATTGACAATGTTATATAAAATGCTTCTAAAAATTCTCTACATAAATACAAAAGATGATCTGGTAGCTGGTCATTAAATGCTCTAAATATACTTGATGGAATTAAAAATATATATCTGTAACTTTATTTCTATCACTTTCAACAGCATCTTTTCCTTGGCCAAAGAAATGTAGTTTTAGTCACAGGAAACAAATATTTAGAATGCTAAATGTGAGGGATTTTTTTAAGCAAGGAAGCAAGCGAATAAGCAAGCAACTTTAAATAAACAAGTTTATATTCCCACAAGCTTCCTATATTTCCAAAATTATATCAGTAACCAATCATCATCCAACTGGTCAAACAGTCCTATTCATGCAATTTTTTTGATATGGACACTGAATACTACAAAATGATTTAATGCAAAACAAAGGCAGGAAGTATGAAAGGCTTTGATATACAGATAGTCCTTGAGTTATGACGGTAATTAGGATTGGAATCTCTATCACTAAGTGATATGGTTATAAAGTATAATGACACAAGATTACATCATTTAGTGACAACAATATTGGCACTGTCAGTTGCTGTCATTAACCAAATCCCCCAGTTGCTAAGAGAGGACCCACCCAAGTCCCAGTTATCTCTGGCTTGGGCCCGCCCAGCCCCTACCAACAGGCTGGTCCTGCTGGCTTTGATAGGACAAATTAATTCAGATCCTGTCAGAAAACGGTAGGACAAATTAATTCATGCCCTTCTTTCAACAAATTTATTTCACTCTTTGCCTTGTCTCCTTTACAGTCCTTCTCTTAAATCTCCAATATATGTGCAGAAAAGCAGGAAATAAAATTGGATGCATGACTGCAAGGCTCAGAAACATGTGATGATAAATGTGTTTTGAGCCTGTACAGGCTGTTTTAGAAAGAAGATATTACCTCCTTTTGCAGGTAATTTACCGATTTTCCTTTTTTTAAAAAAAACCATGTACAGTATATGACATTAAATTTTTCAAGAAAAATAAATCAAACTTGAATATTGCCAGAACTAATATGACACATTATCTTGCTGTGTGATGGAAAGGTGAGGGTTTTTTTTTTTACTATTATATCTGAGCAGTAAAGCCACTGCAGCTTGAAAGAATATAACAATTGGGTTATATTGGGTTTTATGTTGGGTTTTAATATAGGATGGATTTATTATGTACTATTATTTTGAGACTCTCCTACAGCTCACTCCTCTTTCTGTATCAGTCTAGAGTAGACTGAGGTATCTGATATTGATGTGACTTTCCCAATATTGCAAAGGGACTTAATAAATTAAGAGTCTTTTAAAAATCAGATTAAAATATGTCTCAGCAAATGGGTTTCTAAAGCTCTTTTCTGGGAACTTAACGGTACTATAGGGGACAGGTGGGGAATTATACAGAATAAGGCTAGCAATTAGCCACACGTAAGAAGAAATTTTTGCCTTGGGGTAGATGCAATCTGAAGTTGGGGACCATTAAAGTCTTTCCTTTATTATAGTCAGGGCAGTTTATTACACCTATGGAACAGCCCTCTACTACACCATGGGGCATGGATCTATTTGATTGAACCACTGCAGGAGTCTAATATTACAGCCTTTTGATTTTCAGAGCTTACCTGGTGAATTTCCCAAGATCCAAAGAAATTTGTCACTTCCTGGAATTTAGGAGTGACTGGGGCCTTAAGCATCCTTGTGCTTAAGGTGATTCTTTCTTGTTCATCAATTCAGGGAGTTCTCCGGCTCTGTGTGCCTGTTTCCTTTCTTTTTATTCAAACAGAATTGAAAAATAAGAAAAGCAAAACACATAATATAGATACTTATTTGTTAAATTTATTTGCTGCCCATCTCCCTGTGTGGCTACTTTGTGTAGTTTCCCATATAGGTATGACATGTCAATAATGGTTAGTCAAGGCTCTGACTAACGAACCCAAGCAAATCAGAACTCTTGAAACTTGGCTTCTTCTCAAAGGTCTTCTTTAATGAGTACATCATATCAGTGCAGCTTGAATGGAAAACCAAATCTAAATCTTTCCTGCAGTTTTAATATAATTAAACTAGGAAATAAACCCCATCCCCAAGGGTCACAGGTCACACTGGCCAATTGGGTTAATTGGCGGGCTCTTCAGGCACTCCTTCTCCAATCTTATCTGTTGCCAGTAGAGATGACCTTGGTTCTCATGAGAAACTTCTTTGTTGTGTCCAGTAATGCATTCCAACCCCCTTCCCCTTCTTGTGGCAACTGAGGAGCAGAAAGATGACTGTAGCCAGGTTCAGTTCAAAGTTGACAAATGCTTTATATAACTTTTGGAATGACTATGTCTTGTTACAGCCCATACCTAATGTATATCTGTAAGGAACATCTTCATCTTCACCAGTAACACCAGATCTTCAAACCATTGAGTAACTGGTCCATAAATTTATTGTCACAACATTGAAGGACCATGCCTCCTAGGAAAAAGAAGCATACGGAGAATTTATGTCTCTCAGCAGTAAATTTCCATGTAATAGGCATATACATTAAACCCTGTCTTAAAATGAAATTAATATGTGTAAATGAAAAACTTTAGGATATCAGAAAAAACATGTTTTAATGAAATATTAACAACAGAAAAGAGTATTTGTAGCTCATGGTTGAACTGTGGGTCCTTCCTGCTCTCTGGGCTTGGTTGCAAGAAAACAATCAAGCCCAGAGAGCACCAAGAATCCGTAGTATAATTCTCACCTTTATCTCATTGTATCAAGCACGATTTACCCAATGGTTCAAAATGTTTTTGTTGGCTAAGCTGAAATCTAAGATCTATGAAAATGTTTGCTATAGATGCTTAAGACAATTTCCTATTGTATAGAAAAATGGAGATCTCTAAATCCTTGTTCTGCTTCATTTTTAAATTATATATCTCAAACTGATTTAACAATTACAAATATTTATAAAGTAGTGATGGGTTTTTTTATCTATTTGATACAGTGATCGCCTCCAATACCTTATGTATATTTGATACTCAAAATGTCACTAATACAGATTAAGATGTGACTAGATGTTGTAAATTCCCAGTGGGTAGCAAGACAGATGGTATCTATCCTTTGTTGTGATGGTACAGTGGTTAGAATGTAGTATTGCAGGCAAACTTTGCCAACTGCTAGCAGTTTGATCCTGACCGGCTCAAGGTTGACTCAGCCTTCCATCCTTCCAAAGTGGGTAAAATGAGGACCCAAATTGTTTGGGGCAATATGCTGACTCTGTAAACCGCTTAGAGAGGGCTGTAAAGCACTATGAAGCGGTATATAAGTACTATCACTATTGCTATCCTTTGACATGGGAAATGATTAAAAAAATCATTATCATCCAATAATTCCTACATTTCCTTCCTTGTAATGTATTATGGTTTTATATCGTCTTGTTGCCCAGAACTATGAACTTAAAATGAGCAGGCATATAAATTTTCTAAATAAATAAATAAATAATAGATCTAAAGTAAAAAAAAAAAAATCCTCAGATTGCTGTCTAATGCCCCCTTTATAGTATTTTTATTCTGTTGGGAAAGCCTAGGTTGGAAGAATATTTGATGGGATGATGTAAAGGATTTATCATTTTAGTCTGCCTTGGTCACTTTCCCTTCAATATTGTTTCCAGTTCTGATGAACACAAGATATTAACAAACTGGATCATGTTCAGAGGAGGACTACTAAGATGTTGAAGGGATTGGAAACCAAGTCCTATAAGAAAGTTACAATATTTAGGTATGTTCAGCATATAGAAGACTGTGGAAAGGTATACTATCAGTTTTTAGATATCTAAACTAGTATCACAGAGAAGTTATTCTCTGTAATCTTGGGGGAACAAGACAAGAAGAAATGGGTCAAAAGTACAGATTTCAGCTTAGATAAATGATTACTAATTGTAATTTTCATGGTTAACTGGTAGGAAAGGATGTTTATGCAATAGTATGTTCTCCTCCATTAGAGCTCTTCAAAAAGAGGCTGAATAACCCATCAAAGGTATTTTAGCAAATCCTTTCCAAATTTATGAATCTGACTCAAATGTAAAACATATATTTGCTCACATTTGTTAATAATGAATATAGGATAGTAAGAATCCGTACTTTTGTCCAACAGACTTCAGTGTCCTTGCAAATGAAGAACTGCACGGAACATTTTGTGTTCGCTAGTTTCTGGGCAGCCCATCTGAAAGAACAGGTTTCAGTACAGGTTGCAAAATGGAGTTTAAAGCCACTGCAAGGTCTGAATCCTGTGATTTATGTTTCTCCCCATGTAAAAATCACACAGGTAGTCCTCTACTTACAACTATTTGTTTAGCGACCATTCAAAGGTATGCCATTGAAAAAAATGGCATACAAGTCCTCACCCCTTTAATTGTCATAGCATCCCCATGTTCACGGGGTCAAACTCCAGCCGCTTGGCAACCAGGAGGCATTTACAATGATTGCAGCATCCCAGAGTCATGTGATTGCCATTTGCGACGACTAAAATCAACGGGGGAAGTCAGATTCACTTAACAACTGCAGTGATTCGCTTAACAACTATTGATTGTAAAATTGGGCACAACTCACTTAACAACCACCTTGCTTAGCAATGGAAATTCTGGTCCCAACTGAGTTCGTAAAATGAGGATTACCTGTAATTCGTTCCTGGCTTTTAGATTGTGAAGAATTTCTTTAAGCTACCTGATAACTTTAGCATCTACCAAGAAGAACCTTAATGTCCTTTTAAAATCTCTCTCTTCACTTCCCAGGATTGAGTGTTTTTCTTCCTCAGATAGATCTGCCCTAAAAGACAGATCCACTGTTCAATCACCTTGAATCTACTTCTCTAAAACAAAGATGACTGTCAATCTTCAAGACAAGCCTTGAGGACCCAGTTTGTGGGGGCAATAAGCTGACTTTGTATAAATATACAAAAGGATGAAGGCTATTGCTGAGCACATTGTAAGCCGCCCTGAGTCTTCGGAGAAGGGCGGCATATAAATCAAATTAAAAAAAAAAAAGCCTGTTCATGATACCAGTGAAACAAGCTGCTAGCTTTGCCTGCAGGATTTCTTCAAGCAAATTTATTTCTTCTGCAAATTCTTTCAAGTAGAGGATATTAAACGTCCCTCAAGTAAGGAAAGCACCCACCGTGCTTCTACCATCAAGACTCGTAGTACAATCAAAAGCAATTCCATCTTTTCCCCTTAATAGATTTGCTTAATCATGGAAAAGCCACATTTGGCTTCATTCAGATCAGTGGACTGATAGATCATCACTGGCCTACGGAGCCAGTGTGGTCTAGTGGTTAAGGCAGCGGGCTAGAAACTGGGACACTGGAAGTGCTAGTTCTAAGCCTGAAAGCGAGTTCGGTGACTTTGGGCCAGTCACTCTCTCTCTCAGCCCAATCTACCTCACAGGCTTGTTGTTGAGGTAAATATAGGAGGATTAAATATTTATTTATTTATTGGTACGATTTATATGCTGCCCTTCTCCAGAGACTCAGGGCAATTTACAATGCATTAAGTAATAGCCTTCATACTTTTGTATATACCTCCTTAGTAGGGCTTTCGAGGCCCCCTAAGTGGTGTTCTTTTTTATACAAAGTCAGCTTATTGCCCCCACAATCCGGGTCCTCATTTTACCTACCTCAAAAGGATGGAAGGCTGAATCAACCTTGAGCCTGGTGAGATTTGAACTTGCAGTAATTGTAGGCAGCTGGTGTTACTTAACAGCGCTTTAGTCTGCTGCGCCACCAATATTGGAAAATATTGAGCTTTCCACACTAATTAGTAAGCCCGGCTTGCTCCGATGGAAGTTCAAAGGCTGCCATTTTTGCACCTTCCCCAATTCCACACCCCCACCCACCCCAAGCACCTTAGACGACCGTCCCATAACTCCCAGCTCACAAGTTGCCAGGCCTGTACGTCAGTGCAGCCACTGGCGAGAGCTTCCGCCTCCCTCCCAGCCATTTGCAGAACGCGAGACCATCGGCTTCCTCCACGCAGGGCCGGATTTAGATGAACAGAGGCCCTAGGCTATTCCACTTATGAGGCCCTTTCACCTATAGTGAAAGTGTAATTTTAATTTTGCAAACAATTTGAATGTAGGGAATGTAGGCCCCTCTTGATCTTGAGGCCCTAGGCTGAAGCCTAGTTAGCCTATAGGAAAATCCGGCCCTGCCTCCACGCAAGCAAAGCTGCGGAAATCTACATTAACCGAGGACGCGACTCCGGAGGAACCGCTGGCTAAGGCGGCTCCTTATAAGGCCAAAGCGCTCGCCCGCTGAGCCGCCCGCCCCGTCCGTCTCCAGGTGGAAGCAAACAAGCGGCGCAATCCCCCACCGCGGCCTGCAGAGGGAGCTGCTGCTACTGCAGTCAAGCTGCTTCGCCAGGGAGAAAAGCTCGGACTTCGCTTCGCCTTCGGTGTCCGCCTCTCAGTCCGCCCGAAGCCCCGACTGCTTCCTTGTTGCGGCTCCCCGAAGCCGACGGGAGAGTTATGTGCCCCGGGGTCGGAGAGTGAATGGGGAGAGAGAGAGAGACGGCGGGCAGCGGAAAGCCGGGACCCCCGGAGCATGTTCTTCTGGCTCCCTCCAGTCCTTCAGGGTCCACCTTGGAGCGACGGAGCCCCCCGCCGCATCCCTGACTTACCTCGTTTGTCCGCCGGTAGGCGCGTCCAAGCAGACCGAGCGTGTCTTGAGGAGGCGGCGCGGGGGGGGGGTGGGGGGTGGAGAGCGACAGAGCCCCCCGCAGAAGCTACGGGGGGGCTTTTTCCTTCCCCCCCCTTTCCCCCGCGCGGTTTCCCCCCCCCCCCCCCATCCATCACCGCAGCCCACCCGGCCGGCCATGCGCCAGGCTGGACTCTGCCGCCCAGCCGAAATCTAAAAGCAGAAGGGGACCCATCGCCGAGCCTCGGTTGCTAAGGTAATCGCAGTTGCCCTGCAACGGCATGCCTCGATATTGCATGGTCTCTCTCTCTCTCTCTCTCCCCCTCTCTCCTTCCCTCTTTCTCTCCCTCTCTCCTTCCCTCCCTTCCTCTCCTTCCCCCCTCTCCTCCCTCTCTTTCACTCCCTCCCTCTCCTTTCCCCATCTCTCCCTCTCTCTCTCCCTCCCTCTCCTTCCCCCCTCTCTCCCTCTCTCCTTCCCTCCCTCCCTTCCTCTCCTTTCCCCTTCTCCTCCCTCTCTTTCACTCCGTCTCTTTCATTCCCTCCCTCTCCTTTCCCCCCTCTCCTTTCCCCCCTCTCTCCCTCTCTCTCCCCCTTCCTCTCCTTCCCCCTTCTCCTCCCTCTCTTTCCCTCCCTCCCCTCCTTCTCCTTTCCCCCTCTCTCTTTCCCCTCTCTCTCCCTCTCTTCCTTCCCTCTCCTTCCCCCCTCTCTCCCTCTCCTTCCCTCTCTCCCGTCCTCTCCTTCCCCCTTCTCCTCCCTCTCTTTCACTCCCTATCTCCCTCTCCTTTCCCCCCTCTCTCCCTCTCTCTCCTCTCTCCTTCCCCCCCCCTCCCTCTCTCCTTCTCTCTCCCGTCTCTTGCGCTTTCTTTCCCCCTTCCTGGAGACCCGATGAGACGGTCTGGCCTGTCTTCTGAGCCCACCGTCGTTCCCGGGGGTGCAAATTCCTTTCGGAAAAGCTGGGGAAAAAGAAGTCGCTCCAATAAAATAAAATAAACATCCCCTGCGCCCCCTTCCCGTTTTGCCCTATTCATAGGCATCCTAAGGAGGGGAGGCAAAAGTGCCTACCTGGCTTCATGAGCTCGGCTGAGGGGGGCGGCAGCAGCCCTGCCTGCCTCCTGCTTGCCGGGGGTGGGGGGGTTGGGGGTGGGTGGTGGCTGCAGCCGAAACGGCGGAGAGAGTTTGTTCCTGGGTCCGGTGAAGAAACGCCTTCGGGGCTTGCCGGGAAGCCAGGCTTCGAGGCGAGGGTGGCGGCGAGCTCCCTAGGACAATCGCTAAGCAACCTGTCGGGCGAAGGGCGAGAGCAACGTTGCCGGGCGGCGGGGTTGTGATCCTCCCTCGTTGCTACGCCAGCCGTGCGGTGGATAAAAAGAGTTGGATCGGTCGAAGTTGACGATCGACGGGTTGTTCGAATGAATGGACGACGTTACTGCGGGGTTTAGGCCACGGTTGTTAATCGTGGCTTTCGAAAGCGGGGTGGGCAGTTCAAGACCCAGGTCACTTTTGGGTAGAGCCGGAGAACTGGCTTGATTTGAAACTAGCTTCGCAGCCAGAAGGAGAAGCAACGAAAAGCAATTGGGACCTGGCTCAGTGGCACATTGGGATCTTCTGTAGTCCAGAGTGGAAACAGGGCTGGGTCAGCATTTTAGGCAACCGATTGCTTGACGGGGCCAGGAAACAAAAGGAAATGGATGCAGGCTAATCATCTCTCTTACTTAGACTACACTAAGAAACACGCTTCCAACCATGTCCCTCTACAACCAACAGAACACCTCGGCTATAATATTTCACAGTAATAATGTTTTCACAAGTGTCTTCTAAGAAGGTCTTGGCAATGAACGCATTATGTTGTGCAGAGTTTCAACAAGCAGTCAAAAAAGGAGAAAAATGTGTCCAGAAAAATAGGATCCATGTTTGCTTAATCCACAGGGCTGTGGATTAAATTGCCTCTTATTTATCTGCACCGTATGTGCTCACAAAGGAGCCCATGAGTTGGAAAAGAAGCTTGAATGTATAGGTTTTGTTCGTCTCCTTGTGTGTATATCTACAACTAGATGTGAAGAAAGTGTTCGTTCCTGTAGTAATCTGTGATTAGCTCATGAAAGCTGCTGTCAGTCCATAAAAGCAGGTTCAGAGCAATTTCAGGTACCTCACCTCTCTGAACTATGGGAGATGCATGTGTTAAAACAGTAGGAACTGGGATTGGAAAGGAAAGAACAGTTGTTTTAATTGTTGCTTTAGACAACAGCTGAACAGGTTCCTTATTGGAATTTTGTTACAGCCCTTCCGAGATAATAGCTACATTGATTCTTCCTAAACTCATTTATTCAGAAGACGCCTTTGTCACTTATCAAGGTGACACCAATCCCTGGCTGTGATTGACAGGTGGAGTTGTTTCTGCTTCTTGAATAAAATGCAAAAAGGGGAAGGTTGTTACAGGTTTATTGATGAACCCACAAATACATGGTTGCTGAGTAGACCCTCTTCAGTCTGGTGAATGCCGTCTGAAATTAAACAAGGCATTGGTGAGATTCAAGCAATTTAACAACCGGTTCTCTGCCCTAATGATTTCTTCCAACAACCAGTTTGCCAAACTGCTCAGAAAGTTAACAACTGGTTCTCCCGAAGTGGTGCGAACTGGCTGAATCCCACCACTGAAACAAGGGTAATTGAAATCTCTGTTTCCACTATATTTATCACACAAAGTGTTGTTTGGATTGCAGCTTCAGTGTTTTCTTTGCATATTTTCATCTCCACTCTAGAAGGAATAGAAGTATATGAGTCAACCACCTTGCTCACCAGGTTTTGCTTGCTTTTGTTTTGATATGTATTGTCTTTATGGTTGTTTTTAACTTTAATTTACCACCCAGAATCACTGTAAGTTGGGCAGCTATATAGGTTGAAGGAACAAATAAAAAAGTAATCATACTTAATGCCAAGGAGTTACGACCTTCTCTCTGTTGAATTTCTCTCAGAATCCTGAGAACTGGGGAAATGATTGATCTAATTTACAGGGAATTGATGGGTGAGATGGAGCAGAATAGTTGAGGAGAATAGTCTCCGCCTTGTTACAAAGACTGGGAAATACTGGTTTCAGTGTGTAAGAGATGGGGAGAGCTGAAACAGAAAGGGCTCAATTGGGAGGAACCCTAGGAACCCGAGAGCCTCTCTTCAGTGTTTCCATTCACCTGCTTCCCTTTACCTGTTGGTCAGCATAATATTTGAAATGACACTAACCAACCCCCCCCCCCCGGCAATTTCTACAGAATCTTCAGTTAATTTTTTTTTAATTAAACGGTATTTTCACTCAAATCAACTTTTTTTAAAAAAAAATCTTTCCCCCCTGCTTTTCTTCCATGTGAAAAAATAACGAGTGTGCAGCGGTAATGCGAACACAGAAAAAGAAAACCATTTGAGAGTCTCCTTGCAAGAGTGATCCACTTTTCTTTTGTCTCTTATGGAACAACCCACTAAGTGTTGGATCTGTCTGCTGACTGCAATGCAAAAACCTGATCTCTAGCTGAACTCTTTGGATGGACGAGACAGTTATTTATTTGTTTGTTTATTTGTTTATTTATCTATTTAGGCGTTGATGCGGAAAGCTTTTTATATAAGTGCAAGCAATTTCATGCTGGGTACCTCTGTTTTGGTTTTTCTGTAGTGTGGTAGACTGATTTTTGCCAACCATGCCTTTTCCCTTTTACAAACTGTTCTGGGAGCAGCAGGAGGCATCATCCTTGATGGAGTAGATGATGCATTATTCTGATTTGATGGGTATGTTAAAGTAACTCTTGGCCCATTATTACTATGCTGCGGCTGAGAATAAAATCACCAACACAAGATGCACAGGCACAGCAAGGAATATAGGCACCCAGTTCCATAGAGACACCTAGGCATACAAACATTTAACTCTGATTTATTTATTTACTTAGCGTATGGCAAAAATGTTGAAAGGCACACCACAATTACATTCTCAATGAGCAAATATGAAACAATTTAACCCTGAATTTAAAATAAATACTATTGTTTGTCTGTTTTATTTAGATCTAGGCTTTCTTCTAGAAGCTCAAGACAAATAGAATTTCCCCCTCAATTTTATCTTCCCAACACTCCTGTGAAACAGACTTGATTAAGAAATTGTTTGAAGTGTAGTATTTATTTATTTATTAAATTTATACCCTATCAATCTTAGTCTACAAAGCAACTCTATAATAGTCCAAAAGCAGTAGCGTTCCATGGTTAGATGGGGAATTGAATCACTGTCTTCCAGGTCTTACTTTGACATCTAATAATTACATGCCCAGAATGGAATAGGGGCACTGTCACTTCAGACAGAAAACCAGGAAGAATAAGTAAGAATTGGAGCATAATAATCTTGATTAGAGAAGACCACCATTCTCTTCATCTTTATAAGTGGTCAATGTTTGGTAGAAGTTAGTGTACAATAATACCTGGATGGTTACATCTTGCCCATCCTTGATTGAAATATTTTGTACTTCACAAACTTTCCAAATCAGGCATAGATACTTGGAAACCTGATCAATATTGAAATAAAGTTTCCAACAAATTGCATTTAAAAAAAACATTGCCTGTTCCTAAGAAGTGCAATTTGCAACAGTACAGTCACACTTTGGTACTTGACTGCTTTGAAACTCATCAAATTTGATAGTTTGTTTTTTTTAAATTTGATTTATATGCCGCCCTTCTCCGGAGACTCAGGGCGGCTTACAATGCGCTAAGCAATAGCCTTCATCCTTTTGTATATTTATACAAAGTCAGCTTATTGCCCCCACAACTGGGTCCTCAATTTACCTACCTTAGAAAGGATGGAAGGCTGAGTCAACCTTGAGCCTGGCGAGAGTCGAACCTGCAGTAATTGCAGGCAGCTGGTCTTAATAACAGGGTGCTTTAGACCACTGTACTACCAAGGCTCTATTTGATGCTTTTTGATGAGAAAACTTTGTCCCAGTACTCATCTTTTGTTTGGTACTTAACGCACAAGGTAGGACTTGTTGGTGTCAGTTACTGCATTACTTTCCAGACAAAACAAAGGATCACGTCTTGTCCTGTGCGCATCCCCTTGCAGTTTTGTCTTAGCTTTTGTGGCCATTTTGTATATTTTGCATATTTTTTTTCCCTTATCAATACAGGCAAAGTGAAGTTTTATTTTATTTAATCTGATGATTTATTAATTTTTAGGTTTATTTCTCATGTAAAGTAATGATATCTATCTTTTAATGTATTGCTTTAAAAATGTGCATTGTCTTTGGTTTGGCAACACATTACATTTATTTACATTATTCTTGATGGGAGAAATTTGTTTGGTACTCATGCCCTTCCCCCCCCGCCCCACAAGCCAATTAACGATTAGTACTGAGGTACTACTATGTGGAAAACATTGTATATCATCCGATATCTTATTCCTGTGTTTCTTTTATAAATATTGGGATTGGTGAACAGCTGGAATGATAGAACTATAGCCTCCCTCTCAGTCTAGTGTTTTTATGGAAAACGTGGGTGAGGTTTAGATATTTATCAGTTTGCCAGAAAGTTGCCTTTAAATAATATCATCTATAGCAAGTCCAAAATTTCGGATGCATATTGCTTTATTTCTGAAAATAAAATAATGTTATTTTACTTGGACTAGACTAGAGGTCTTCAAACCAGCCCTTTTCTGTTCGCTATGTTGCGTTCCAAAGTATCACTCAGCACACCTAGATCATTTAAGGTCTTACATGTGAAGACATTTTGGCTTTCAAAGTGACCCAATGTGGTTGAATTTTGAAATAAGGCTGAGAAGAGAATGAGGGGGTTGGCTAGATGAATTTCCGAGGTCATGTGGACGGGTGATCTGTTAAAAAGGCAGCCAGGAGATTCTTGCTTCTTTAAGAAGTAGGTGCTATGAATGTTATGTCTGGTTATAAAATTCTTGTTTATTAGAAGTAAATGGATGGAAGTCTCCTTTACTCTTTAATCCTCAGGAAATTTTCATTGCTCCACTTTTTTTGAACAGGTACAAACATTAATGAGCAAAGCTCTGAGCTGCAACCTTCCATCATTTTTTTTGTTATGCCTTAAGAGGCTACATCAATAAGTTTGAGGCTGCCTCTTTCTTTGCAGCATACCAATTTCTCACAATATTTTTAGGAACAAAACAACAACAGCACACAAATGAGGCTGCTTACTTCTGGATTAAGAATAGAGATCCTCAGGTTTATGATATTCAATAGGTGATGTTGCATTATAAGCTACACTACCCCACAGGATTTCTCTGAGGATACAATGACAACAAGGAGGACAGGATAGAGCCGTATATGCTGCCTTTAAACTCCTTGGGGGAAAAGGCAGGAGAATGTAAACAAGTCGCTGTGCTTGGAACTGAGAAAGGGGCTTTTCCACAACCCTAGAGATTAGTTAGCTTCAAGCCTCCTTGTGTTATCTAGTGCTGGTACTAAAGAATCAGATATTCGATGACAAGTGGTAGGAAAAGGAGAAGTGTAATAGCTGGGTTGGTTATTTTGTGGAAATTGTTGGCGAAAGATCACTGACATGTGGACAGCTACTTTCTCAGTAACATTTCAAAATGGGAAAATGCAAGTTACATTTCAGCTTAGATTCAACAGATTCATCTGGAAGCTAATTTGAGGGAGGAGAAAAGGGCCTGACAATCAGGTCAACTGCTTTAAAAAAATTAAATGCTGGTTCAGCAGTGTCTCAGGAAGATAAGTTCAGATTTTGATGTCTGCATTGTAAAGCTGTAGTTTTATATAGGCCCATGATGGTGAACCTATGGCATGCATGTTGGAGGTGGCACACAGAGCCATCTCTCTGGGCATGCCAGCTGTCGCCTGTTGCTTTTCCTGGTTCTGGCGCACACATGCGTGCTGGCCAGCTGGTCTTTGTGTGTGTGGGAGCACCGGAAACCAGAAGAGCAGGTCCCTGGTGCACATGTGTGCACTGGGAAGCTGAGCTTCTGGTTTCTGGCATGCGCATGCACGCTGGCCAGCTGACCAGGTGACAGATGCACATGTGCACACCGGAAACCGGAAGCTCAGCTTCTCAATGCATGCATGCACACCAGGGAGCTGCTCTTTCGTTTTCCAGTGCTACGCCCCCCCGCACACGCACACCAGGGGTGAAATGCTCCCGGTTCAAACTGGATCGCCTGAAAAAATGCTTTTAAAAGTAAAAAAAAAAAGCCTCTGATGATCGCGCGGCTCACCTGGGATCATCAGAGGCATTTAAAAGAAAAAAAACCTTTTTTTCTTTTAAATGCCTCTGACGATCCAAACTGAGTTGCCTGATTGCCAGAGGCTTTTTTTCTTTTAAAAGCCTCTGACGATCCAAGCTGAGTTGCCTGATCGTCAGAGGCATTTAAAAAAAAAAGCCTCTGCCGATCAGGCAATTCAGCTGGGATCGTCACAGCCTTTTGAAAAAAATTTTTTACAACCTCTTTGCTGAAGAGGTTGTAGAAAAAATGGTTTTAAAAGGAAAAAAAAATTGGCCATGCCCACCCAGTCACATTACCTCCCCACCAAGCCATGCCCACAGAACCGGTAGTAACAAATTTTAGATTTTACCACTGACACACACGCACCTATTTCGGCACTCGGTGACGAAAAGATTCGCCAACACTGATATAGGCTGTTTTACCTCTGATATTGC